GCTGTAAATACCTGAAAAAGTCTGTATTGGGGAGTTTGAATTCTATCGTTAATTGTTCAAATGATTTAAAACACCCATTGTAATTGTTGCATTTACTCTGTCTTAAACATAATGTTCAAACATTATAAGTCCATAATTTGTTATTCTTTTCAAGGGTTCTCGTCTGATTGGAATTGATGTGAGTTGTATTTGTTTTATATTGTATTATTTAGTACAGAGAGGATATGCTTTTGTTTTGAAGTTTAGAGGGAGCACTTTTATTTTGAAGTCAAGAGGAGCTCTTGTGGGAGAAGCAATGGAGCCTTATTAAGGATTTTTGCTGAAGTTAAGGCTTAGGTTTGTGAGACCGTGCTTAGACCAATTTCTTAATCCTGAGTCCATCTGTGAGGGGACAAAAGCGTTTATAAGACCAGGGTTGGTTGGTGCTGAGATTGCTTCAGGCAGCCAGTAGGATGTCTTTATTTTCCTCCAAATCCTCAATGTGGTCCCAGTCAGTGGTGGGCCGTCAGGGCCTTCAAGGCCTTCTCTGAAGGCCTAAGAAAATATCTGAATCACAGACTGATGTTAATTATATTTTGTCCATGAAAACGTATTAAATAACTCGAAATAGTCTGTCAGCTTCCTTTCATAGCTTTCCCCCTGGTTGCGCTGCTTCCAGACATGTATTTTCATATAAAAGCATTTAACCAATCACATTTCAGACATCCTTTGTCGCTAGGCAGGGTCAGAGTCAAAGATGTCTGCCAGGAGGCCTTCACAATCCGTTCTGCAGGCCCCCCCCCACAGAAAATACATGTCGAGTACACTGTTGCTTCAACCAATCAGATTTTAGGTTGGTGATGCCAGGGCCTGCGCGAAGGCCCCGGAAATGCCACCGTACCCACACCCGCTGATTGGATAGTCAGATATCCAATCAGGGCAAAGCTAGCAAACAAACCGAAATATAGTTGTGTTGGTGTAATAGCTATTTTATTATTTCGTGGCGGATTTACTGTCATACCATTTTCAAAACGGACTTTTCAAGAAAAGTAAGTGAGTAAAATGTAGTTTTTTTCCTAAATGGTATTGCGA